CTGGGATTATAGGTGTGTGCCATTATACCTGGCCCCAAATCCCATTTCCTAACTTCAGTTCCCTTCAGTTCTGGCATTAATACTGTAAGACATTAGCATTTTTGTTTATAAAGATCCATGGACAATGGACAAATCCATTTTCCCTGAATTCACACATTCAGAGCCGGGAGTGTAGCTTAGTGACAGAGCACTTGCCTAGCATGTGTGAGGCCCTGGATTTCATTTCCAGCACAAACCAAAAACACAAAAACAACAACAAAAAAACCATATTCAGCAAATATCTACTGACTCCACACATGTGCCCAGCAGTGCCTGGCACCGCACATCAACCTTCACTGTATTGGGAGGAGGTTGCAGCGACCTCTTGCTGTGTACAAACCTCTCCAAAACTTAGTGTCTTCAAACAGTAAGGATTTATTAGGCTCTGCCTTCCCCTGTATTAGATCCATTTCCTGTCCCTGTCCCCCATCTGCCTTTTGCTCCAGCCATGCCTAATTCTTCTGTTCCCTGATCACATCAGCCTGTGCCTGGCATGGGCTGTTTATTCTACCTAGAATCCTTCTTCTCCCTCATTCCATTATTTCACATACCCAACTTCTATTACTCCTTTAAAATATAACAGTGTCAGCTCTTCCGCTAAGCCTTCCCTGAAACCTGGTTTATTTGGATGGTTATGCAGCAAGGCAGCATAGATGTTCAGGTCCTTGTTTGTCTTTTCCGGTTAACTGGGTTCCTTAAGGGTAGGGACAGTCACCTTTGCCGCAGTCTGGCTGGGCACAAATCACTGAGCCGCCACAAAGTACTTGTATGTTCAAATAGGAAACTTTATTGCCTGAACTCCAACAGCACTCCACGCACACTCCCCAGGAACTCTCCCGAACGCCACACGCGCGGCTCCCAGGAACACCACACACCAACAGGAACTCCCCCGGGGAACTCTCCCGGGAACTCTCCCAGAACACCACTGGGCTGCGCGCGCTCTCGGAATCCCGCGAGAACTCAACAAGAACTCCAAAGTAGTGGGCTGCGCACGCTCTCGCAACCCCGCGAGCCACCTTATTACCGGACAGTAAAGGTCTAATATACAATTGAATACACAGCCTGTTTCAATCCAGCATCATCCAGTCACAGCGATTATAAACAGCTTAACTTAATATCATCATCTTTTTTGTTTGTTTGTTTTTGTGGTGCTGGGGATTGAACCCAGGGCCTTGTGCATGGGAGGTAAGCACTCTACCAATTGAGCTATATCCACAGCCCCAATATCATCATCTTAATGGCTCGCCTCTCAACCATTACTTCTGGCAAAATGCCAGGGGCCATTCTGACTTGCCTGTGGCTCTCAGCAACCTTAACCTGGTGGAGTGTTCCATAAGCTGACACTAGCATGTTTGCCATAGTTTGCTCTTGGAGTCTGAAAATGTACGTTACAGGCCAGGTACAGTGGCACATACCTGAGATCTCAGAGATTCAGGATGCTGAGGCAGGGTGGTTGAAAATTCAAGGGCAACCTGGACCATTTGGCAAGACCCTCAAAAACTTAGTGAGACCCTGTCTTAGAAATAAAAAGGGTTGGAGGCCTGACACAGTGGTGTACACCTATAATCCTAGCTACTCAGGTGGTTGAGGCAAGAGGATCATGAGTTCAAAGCCAGCCCCAGCAACTTAGTGAGACACTTAGCAACTCAGTGAGACTCTGTCTCTAAATAGAATACAAAAAAGGGCTGGGGATGTGGCTCAGTGGTTAAGTGCCTCTGGGTTTGATCTCCAGTGCCAAAAACAAACAAATAAATAAATATAAAAAGGACTAGAGATATGCCTCAAAGGTAGAAGGTTCTTAGGTTCAATCCCCAGTATCAGGAATTAAAACAAACAAAAGCCCTGAAAATGTACATTACAAGATCAAATCATAGCAGAAAGAGATATTTGTAGATCCTGTTATGAGGTCCTCTGTTCTTTTCAGCTGATACTGGGAGGCTACCCTCACCACCTTAGAGGCCTGCAAGTCTCCAGGGGAGAACTTACGTAAGTTCCCCATTGCTCAAGCTTCTCCAGGAAGCATCTGCCCTCTGTACTTGGGACAATCACGATCACTGCTGGTAACAGTATTGATTCCTGGCAGAAGAAGGACTCTGATCGCCATTTTCCCCCAGAAATGATCTCTGGGAAAATCTGAAATGCTTACTGCTGCCAACACAAAGTTTAATGTGATACTTCAGGTCACAGGTTCTAAAATCCAGAGCCAGAGCTGGTCATTGCCTCTGATCTTCAGACTCTCATAGCCATTTGCCCAATGGTCTTCCCTACCTGGATGTCCACCAAACTTGGCAGATCTAAAATTGCATTCATCACCTCTCTTGCCCTCACATACCCCTGGACTGGCGGTCCACCAGTGAGCAATGAGAGGATGAATATGAACCATTGGTGGATATTTTTTGGGTCACTCTCCTCTTCATTCCTGCCAGAATTCTGGTCCAAGTCCTTGGTTTTTCTGGTCTACATCCCCTCTGCCTACCTTCTACCCTCCTCTGCTTTCCAGGGGATCTGTCAATATGCTAATTTAACCTTGGCCTTTCCCCTGTCTGAAATATGTTAATTCCCATCACGGGTTACCAAACTGCATGCAAATCACCTAGAGAACTTCTTAAAAGTACAGATTTCCTGTACTTTATTCCTTTTCATGGAATAAAGTGTTGCCCAATTCTAGAATAAAAAAAAATAAAATCAATAGAGATTATTGTTTTTTAAATGCAGAATCTGCTGGTTATGGTAGCACATGCCTCTAGTCCCAGCTACTTGGAAGGCTGAGGCAGGAGGACTGCTTGAGCCCAGGAGTTTGAGGCCAGCCTGGGTAACACAGTAAGAACCTGTCTTTTAAAAAGAAAAATATTAAGTTTTTAAAAATGCAGATTTCTGAACCCCTTTCCATACCCAATAAATCTGATATTCTGCTGGGTGGGGGCCAACAGAAGCATGCCTTTAATTGGTGCCCAAGGATTCTGATAGAGCCTGGACATGCACCCGGAAAATAGCTGTGATTCACAGGATAAAGTTAAACTTGGTGGTTCACTCTCCCTGCACTTCTCATGTGTCCCTTGTCCCCTCTCAGGCAAGGTCCTCCCCATCTTCCCTGCCTCTCCCACTCTTTCCCCACACCTTGCTCTCTAAGGTACATCTCATCTTCCCCCTTTGCTCTTTTTGCCTGGTGACAGGAATGTCCTCCTGAATGACCCCCTGTCCATGGGGCAACTCTTTAGTATCCTTTATAGCTGACACAAGGTATCAGCATCACCTGGGAGCTTGTTTCAAATGCAGAATCACAGGCCCTTCCCCAGCCCCGCTGAAGCAGGCCCTCAGTGCTTCCTGTGCACATCAGCAAATAAGAAGTACAGACCTACAACGTGGTTCAAGAGCCACTCCTCCAGGAAGCCGTCCGAGACACACTCATCAAGTTCTTCCAAACCAATACCAGGAATCCATGACCACTGTAATTGTAACATCTCAAAAGTTAGGACTTTCATAGTTCAGTCCCAGAGAACCGTCAGGTTTAAAGTGTGGCCCAAGGGATATTTTATCCCTAGGCAGGCCCTAAGTCAAGAAAATATCCTCTCTCCTTCCTGTGGTCCCATGCCTGTCTCCTACCCACTCTCTGCTGGTGCTCAGCCCACAGGAGGTATGTCATCTAGCTGGGTCCCCCTGCCTACTCTGGTTCTCTTTCAGCCCTCTCAGCCTTTCTCCTGAGAAGACAGCCAGGTGTCCTAGTCTCTTTCTGCTGGCAGGAGGAGTGAGGTTAGCAGCACCTTATAGTCTCAGTGGGTTCTGAGCCCCTCCCTGTCTTGGTAGAATTGCTTCCAGGGAAAGTTCTGGATTCCTTTCCTAAGATGTAGGGCACGCATACCAAAAAATGCCTCAGTGGACAAGAGAGAGAAGCCCTAGGTCAGCTGTCTACCAGCTGCTCTGAGTCTCAGCCAGGGCTCTGGGCAAGGAGGAGCTCAATGCTCTTGGCATCTACCTAAGCATGGAGACTGGAGATCACCAGTCTGGGGCAGGCTGGGTGTTTGGCACATGTGGAAGTTCTCATTGAAGTGTTTCCTGGAGCCATTAACACCTTCAGGGGGACACTGGCCATCCAAGGAGCTCCCAGCTGAGTCCTGGGTTGCTTTAGCAGAAGAGTGAGGAACTGAGGCTGTGGGCCCTGGCGTAACTGTGCTCACCTAGGACATTTATGGTATATTTATCTTTTTTCCTGCTGAATGGAGGTGAGAGGGTTCTATTATTGGGTATGAGGCCAAGGAACACAGATTTTTTTTTTTTTTGAATGGTGAGAACTCTGTCATAAACTAGATTTTGATAGTGGAATATTCCCCTCCCTCATTTTAAAAATATAACTATTTATGACATATAGGTGCCATGTATCACATGTGCTATGCAATAGTATTAGATGTTTGACTTTTAAAAAAAAATTTTTTTAAAGCATTTCTAAAGATTAAACTCAGGGCCTCCTGCACGCTGGGTGAGTGCTCTACTACTGAGCTACGTTCCAGCCCCTAGAAACTTGACTTATGTTGTCCTGGTGAACATGTCTTTTTCAGAGTTGAAAATGAGACCCAGAAGCTCATGTAGCTTTTAGAACCTGAAGTAGAACCTGGCACTTCTGATTGCCACCTCCACACCCCTTCCTCTGTAGGCCTTCCAGAAGCATACCATGGAAACTTATTCCAGAGGATCTGCTACTGCCCAGTGAATTGGGGACCATCCAATGAATCATGCCCTTCTTTGTTTCAAGATGCCATAAGAGGAAATCACAGAAGGAACAGCTCTTCTGAGTTTGTTTCTTCTTTGGGCAAAGAAGTATAGTGAAGAATGTTTTCAAGTAGGAAACCAACCCAAGATTCCACACCCTTCTGAAGAGTCCCATTGCACATGAAAATGTTTAAAGCTTTATAGTAAAGAAACCTGTTTTAGGAGCTGGGGTTGTGGCTCAGCGGTAGAGCACTCACCTAGCACAGGCGGGACCAGGGTTCGATCCTCAGCACCACATAAAAATAAAGGCATTGTGTTGTGTCCATCTATACCTAGAAAATAAAAAAAGAAACCTGTTTTATTCCTTCTAACCCAGTGCTTCCCAAACTTATTTTTTCTTGGAGTTCTTATCAACTTCTCACAGGCAGAAAAGCTGGGTCTCACCAGGCTGATTGTCCTCCATCAAATGTCCAGAGAGTTTTTTAGCATAGCCCCAGAGTCAGACATTGCTCTCAGAAAACAATGGAGAACAAAGAGAATGATTCGATAATTTGAAGAAAAATAAAGGCAAGAGTTTTTGTTCTTTTGCAGGCTTTTTTCTCTTTGGCCATTCTAAATGAATAGGTTGAAGAATTGGTTTTAGTTGAATTTCTTCCCGTTAATCTTTTCCAGCACTCCAGTGCCACCAGGGAAGGTGGAAATGACTGCTTTTAATAGTGATTAGAGAGGGCCCCATGGTTAGGTCAAATCAGGACTTCACTTCCTCCCCGTCTGTGTGTGCATTAGCGAAGCCTGTAAGAATGCTTCTCCATGGCCACTGATCCCAGCCAGGAGCCTGCCAGGAGCCTGGACAGCTGGCAGCCGCTCTTACCAGAGCTCCACCACCAACCGCCCCCTCTTCCTTCATCCTCCCGTCTCCCTACCCTCTTACTTCTCTGTGACTCTCCCCTGGTAAGAAATTTCTTATTGGTTTAATGGTTTACAGAAAGAAGGCCTTGAAGTTTCTGCTCAATTGGTATTTGAATGCAGATGGAAACACACTGTAGCTCTTTACTTAGAACAGCCCGCGCGCTCTCCTCCTATAGTCCTCAGAACTAAGAAGGGGGAGGGGTTTGGGCAACAGGAAGGACAGGCTTAGCCCTCAAGGTAACCAAGGTGCAAGTTGATTTCTCATCCATAACCACTTGCTCCCCCTTCTGTCCGTTCTTGGTCCTCACTTTCTTCTGTGGGCTCACCTCTGTCCCACTCTGACGCAGTTTTAAGAGATAGGGCCATGGGAGGAAGGACTGGGGATTTGTGCAACCTTCGCAGGCTGCAACTTGACCTCTGGGCTACTATCTGCTGGGTAAGATTGGGCTTGTGAGATATGACTTGCTAGGGCAACAGAGAGACGCTCAGTGCTCTCTGCTTGCTTCACCGGACACAAAAACAATGTGACCAAGAAAGACAGTTTGCAGAATCGATGGCAGGACACCAGCTGAGAGGCAGCTCTGAGATGGGCTTCTGGAGCTTCCCTCACTTCCTCCAGCCCACAGTGTGTGTCTTCCTTCCGTGTGACTTCAACACCTGCCTAGTTCAACCCTCCCTCTCTCAGGATTCATACCTCCTGACCTCCTCACCTCCCACTTCTTCCTCCATATTTCCAAAACAATGTCTCACATCCATCTGTCTTCTGTGGCCTCTGCCAGAGTTTGAGTCACTATTTTCCCCTGACATCAGTAGTCATGTCTCTCCTTCTTCTCTTTGGTGGTTTCCCTGAACTAAAACAAAACCCAAAGTCTTTTCAGTGACCCATTCTCTGGCCCCTGCCCCATCTCAGACCCTGTCTCTGCTCACTGTAAGAGGCTTGCTTCCTGTCAGTTCTGAGCAGGGCTGGCCCGAGGAGCCTGAGACAGTGCAGTCACCTGGGACCCAGCTCCCGGAAGGAGCCATGTGCCTGGGTGTAATGAACTGTTGTCACCATCTTGAATCTGTGTTCTTTAAGGGAAGTTAGATGGGATAATGGGACATGCCATCTGTACTGGACTGGGAGCCTCACCAAGTCTGTAGTCCCACCTCCTGCCATCCCCTTCCTCCCTGGCCAGGTACATTGGCAGAGGGAAGCCCACATTCTGCTATTGTCCTTCACCCCTGAAAGGGGCTTGGGCTGGGTGGCAAGGAGGGCTGGAGTCAGGCATGTTGGGGTGGCATCTCTGTATAGGCACAGCAGAGTCTTCTCTGCCCACTAGGGAGCCCATGGCACCTTTGGCAGGGTCTCTCATCCAGGCTGGCCCAATTTAGATACTAAGCATATCCCAGGACAGAGGTCACAATCTTGTGGGGTTTCCCATCTGCCGTGGGTAGGGGTAATGAGCCCTTGGTGTGGAAACTGATTCTCCCACCCCAGCCAGGGTCACATTTTCATTTGTTTATTAAACAGACTTATCAAAATTTACAGCCAGTACTTGTTCTAAGTGTTTTGGAGCCTCCGTCCAGATGCTCTTTCCCTGGCTGTCTTTCCCATCCTTAGGGCCATGCACAGTCCGCCTCCTCAGATGGTCCTACCCTCCTGCTCCTATCCAAGGCAGCCCCAACCTGTTTCTGTGTTTGTTTTCTTCATATTGTGCATCATAATTTGTAATAATACATTTGTTTTGTTGCTTGTATTCTTTCTTCCCCACAAACATTAAGCTCCAGGAGGGCAGGTTGCTATCTGTCTTGTTCAGTTAGATCCATGTCACTTATCAGTCTTGAGTACAGTGTTTGTCATGTAGTATATGCTCAACAAATATTTGTTGAATTAATAAATAAATTTATTTCAGATACTGCATGGAGAATAAATAACAAACACCTCCTGTATGCTTAAATTAATAACATTTTAGGGAAGATTTTTTTAAAGAAAATATTGGGAGCAATTAAATACAAATAATAATACAAATCCTCTAGCCGGATACAATGGCTTATGCCTGTAATCTCAGCAATTTAAGAGGCTGAGGCAGGAGGATCACAAGTTCAAAGCCAGTCTGACAACTTAGCAAGACCCTGTCTCAAAATAAAATACAAAAAGGGCTGTGGATGTTGCTCGGTGGTAAAGCACCACTGGGTTCAACTCCAGTACTAGGAAAAAAAATTCTGCAAATATTATTTTTCAAGTGGCTCTTTTTCTCTCCAAAACAAATCTGCAAGGTTCTTTTCATATTGGTCTAATAGATCAATTCATCATTTTTTAATTGTTAAATGGTTTTCCACAGTGTGCTGTAGCAACACATTTGAGTTGTTTCCTACCGTTGAACTACAACGTTATTTAATCTTTTGCTGTTGCAAGCAATGCCTCCCCATGCATAAGTGTAAGAATTTCTCAAAGGTAGATTCCAGAACAAAGAATTGCTTAGTTTACACGGTTTGCACAGTGTTTTTTTGGGGGGTTGGGGTGGGTGGGAGAGGTACTGGTAATGGAACCCAGGGGTGCTTAACCATTGAGCCACATCCCAGCTCTTTTTAAATATTTTATTTAGAGACAGGTTCTCACTAAGTTGCTCAGGGGCTCACTAAGTTGCTGAGACTGGCTTTGAACTCATAATCCTCCTGCTTCAGCCTCCCAAGCCACTGGGATTATAGGTGTGTGCTGCCATGACTGGCTGGGTTTGCACATTTAAAAAAATAGAATAGATACATGCTTTTGAACCACTGCATCTCCTTGGAACCCCTGAAAGGCAAGGTCAGCAAGGTGAGTGTGGATCTGAGTTGACGGATGGACCGATCCTGTCACTGTTGCTGTGTTGCTTCTCTGGCCTTCTCATTTCCCTTAGTTAATATATTGAAGGTTCTAGCAATGACTTGTCTCAAATGTTTTCCCCTTCTATGTTTCTACTCAGTAACTTTCTCTTCTTCATGGGAGTAGGATGGAATTGGACATGGAAGGACTTGAAAAAGGTGTAAGAGCTGAGAGTGGTGGTGTACACAAGTAATCCCAGCTACCTGGAAGGTTGAGGCAGGAGGATCACAAGTTTGAGGCCAGCCTCACTAACTTAATGAAGGCCTTGAGCAACTTAGCGAAACCCTGCCTCAAAATAAAAATTAAATGGACTGGGAATATTGTTAAGCACCTCTGGCATACACACACACACAAAAAAAAAAAGAAGTATAAGAAATTATTTGTTTAAAAATAGCAAAGAAGTACTGCTTGGTAGTTTTCTTGATTTTTATTTATTTATTATTTATTTATTTATTTATTAGTTCTAATCAGTTATACATGATAGTAGAAAGCTCTTTGATTCGTTGTACACAAATGAAGAATTTTTCACTTCTCTGATTATGCATGAAGTAGAGTTACACCATTCATGCAATCATATATGTACCCAGGATAATGATGTTCATCTCATTCCACCATCTTTGATTTTCATTTATTATTATTATTAATAATAATAAATAAAACTCAGGGGTGATATACCCATAAGCTATGCCCCTAGCCCTTTAAATTTTTTATTTTGAGACAGGGTCTTGCAAAGTTTCCTAGGTTGGCCTCAAAACTTATGATCCTTCTGCCTCAGTCTCCTGAATAGCTAGGACTATAGGCACCCATGCAACATGTCCAGCTTTGATCTTTATTTACTGAAAAATCTGATTCTAGCTCCTGTTGTTGAAATGGACAAAGGGAAGGCTTGGAGCCACCCTAGAGTCTATCATGCACTAACTCAATAAGTATTTAAGGAGCATGTTCCAGGCATGTCAGATTAATCAGAACTCGGATTAATCAGAACATCACTGGTCCTAATGGAGAGGTGGGGTCCTGGGAGCTCCCTGCTGTGAAAACCAATGACTGTGTAGTTGGTGCAATGGACTAAATCATGTTCTCTCCAAATTCAAATGCTGAATCCCTAACTTCCAATGAGGGCTTTGGGAGGTGTTTAGGTTTAGATGAGGTCATGAGGGTGGGATCTGATCTGATGGCATTAGTGCTTTTATAAGAAGAGACACCAGTGTGCACTTGTGGGCACTCTCTCTTTCTCTGTTTCTCTTTCATCTATCATGAGAGGACTTGGAGAAAAACAGCCAAAAAGAGAAATTTTACCAGGACAAAATCAGTTGGCATCTTGACCTTAGACTCCCTAGCTGCCAGAACTGGATGGAAAGCTTAGGGAATTGGAACACTTCCCAACCTCCAGAACCACCTGGACTATGGTAATTTTTTTATGGCATCACAAACAGACTAAGGCAGTTAGAACCTGGAAAGTGCCGTGGGAGGTATATGGGGCCTTGGGGCAGTGGCTAGTCACCAAAACTGATACAGAAATATTTCAATATTTTAACCATTGACACTAATCTACTGTGATGTATCAACACTGTTCATGGAGTTCACATTTTAATAAGAGACAGACAACATACAAAATAAAATAAAGAATGTGTCGAGAGCTGTTTTCTGGTATGGAGAATAATAAAGTAGATGACAGGATTAGAAAGTGTCCTAGGGAGGCTGATAATTTATGTTGCAGGAAGAAAGAAAGAGAAAGGCATGGTGCCCATCCTCAAGGGGCACTTGCCAGAAGCTGCACATATACCACTTACACTGAAAGCCTCTTGCTAGAGAGAAGATGGGAAACAGTTACATTGGGAAGCATCCACCACTGAGGATGGAGAGAACTACTGCGGAGCAATAGACATGATCTGTGATTGGATTGTAAGGTGGAAAGAAAGATAATTTTTCAGGATCTGTCAGAATACAGCTCTCTTTTGCCTCTCACGTTTGTGGATGTCTTGCGAACTGAGGTACTTGTTGCCTAGACTATCTTTCTAAGAATGTTTGTATAGCAAGCAGTCTTAGAAAACAAGGGTAATGTCTCCCTCTGGAGCAAAATGCAGGCAGCTTAGTGTCCAGTGTCATAAAGATGGTGTCTCCCGCAGAACAGTTCAGGAGACTTACTACCCATTAGAAATCTAATTTCCCAAGCTCAGGGCTCTCTCCAGTGTGACCCCTGTGTGGGCAAGTGTCACCTGGCCTTCTTTGCAGTGACCTGTGGGGATTGGTGCTGAAGAAAAGGGCATGGGAATATATGTTTATTTAAATATTCTCAGATGGCCAGGGAAAATGGGACCTT